GTTTTTGTTTTTTTGTCTGACCGGTTGGCATCACTGGTGTTGCATTGTTGCTGCTGCCCAAAAATGTATGCAATTCAAAGGGCATGTAAAGCATTTAATTGTCCTGTACTGTCACAAGCGGTCCGTGCCGGTCTGCTGCAGGTTAATGCAAGCATATGCATTAATGTGTATGTATGTATGTATGTATGTATGCACAAGTAACCGTGTGCATCCGCTTTCATAGCACATTGCTCATACGCCCTGGAGGTCATACCACAAAACGAAATTGGGCATGTGAAACTGATGCCAATGCTGATAAGTTTAAATTGTTATAATATTTCTTCAATGCATAGACAATATTCAACTTTGTTAAGAGGGCATTTTGAGCGCGTTTACATATAGACAGGATATAGTTGAAATACCTTCTGAGGCTCAATAAATTTGTTTAAGAGCACCGATCCTGCAATGGCTGCGATACCAACGAGCTTTTTTTTTTGGGAACCTGCTGATAAGGAATTATTTGATCATTGCCTACGCCGATTTCGTGGTCTGCAGTCGGAACGACTGAAACCACTAGAACCACACTTTTTCACCAGTCTGGCAGAGTGAACTCATGGAGCTCTACAATCTCCTTTTCGAATATCAATTGGTGCAGTTGGTTAGTAGTTGGATATTCCTTTTTCCCATTCGCAAAGGAACCCCGGTTAATGAAATTGCCTTCTCCCAACACTTGCAGGCAGAGTGAACTCCGAATAGGAAACTATGCGTCCGAGTGAAAGTAGGATACACTTCACACAAGCTCTCATAAGCTAACCTAAGCTTATGTTCTTGATATCATTAAAAATCAAGATAATAATTATTTTCTCTTCCTGATTATTCGCACTTTGGCGAATAAATTAATAATTATAATTTATTTCCAATGAAATGAAAGAGTTATGGCTATATTTATAAAAAATAAAGTAGCTTTAAAGAAGGTTTATAAACTGAACAATTTTGAAAACATCTTTATTTTTTATGAATAAGGCCATTCGATTTTAGTTTTTCATATTTTAATTATTTCAAAGAGAGCGGGTAGAGGTCCATANGTAGCAGAGGAAGAGGGAGGCCCCCACTGCGATGGAAAGATCAGGTGGAGAAGGACTTGGCTTCACTTGGCGTTTCCAATTGGCGTCAGTTGGCACAGAGGAGAAACGACTGGCGTGCTTTGCTGAACTCGGCCAAAATCGCTTAGGCGATTACAGAGCCAAAAAAGAAGAAGAAGAAGAATATCCTTTGAAATAGCGCATGCGATCAAGTTCTTCGATGTTGAACTTGTGCTTTATCCTTGGATATAGAACTTGCTGAGTTTCTGTCTTTTGATATAGGACTTTGAATTTTGTAGACATTCCAGAGTTTGGCTTGCGGATGTTGGCACCATTTCGCGATTGTTGATACTTATAGATCAAGTTCTGGGAAGCAGGATGGTACAAGTATATCTAGTGGAAGTATCGACGAGCCGGTTTGTCACCAGGGGCGGCACAAGATACAGGGCTATCTCTTCGCAAATAGGTATCGGCAGTAATTTGTTTACTGATTTGCCGCTGGAAAACCATGCTAGCATAATTCAGACTGAAGTTCTGGGCTTATGTGAAGCCTGTAGCATACTAAATAATAGTGGTACCAGGAAGGAAAGGGCATTTCATTTCCTAGTCTGACTTCCTTAAGACATAACACTTTCGGGAAAGAGATAATGAATCAGCTAACGGATAATGCTTGAAGCAAATTTAGGTCTTGGTGAACGCGAACCCTCTAACTAACATTCGGTAAAACACAGGTTTGCTCCTTGGCCCGCAAAACCGCCAAAAATGTGATTTGCATTCTATTATCGAAAGAAAAACCTTTACCTAGCGTCTTCCCCAGAATAGTGGCACATTTATTATTTGTCATGGCAGATACTTTGACTAGTTGTGGTGTCGGTGATGGGCACCCCAAACCAAGTATTGCGTGCACATTGATTGCCACGATAATGGAAAAGTGAAAAGAATGAACTTTTCTAATTTCCACACATTGTCGAAATGACTATTTAGAAATTGACGAGTAGTGCCACATTTCGTAACGATTTCAATGCCAAAAAGTGGCTTACTAACTTATCTACATAAATATGTAGCAAGCAGAGTTGCGCATCGCGAGCAGAGGATTGTGTGGCGCACAAAAATCAAACGCAATGAAGCGTAAAAAGCGCTAAACACCTGAATGCAAATACGTACATATATATATATATATATATATATATATGTATGTACATCGCCACCTATACACACACACACTCAATGTGACTTTGTCAAACACATGCATGCCCCACCAAGCATTTAGTTTATTTCCGTTTTTAACGACTTTCTTTTTTTTTTGCGCTAATATTTATTCAATTTCGCGTTAATTCTTCATTTGGGAAATCAATGCCTATTGGCGCCGAAAAAAATTGCGCTCTAAATGCGATATATGTATATGCATGAAAATGGGAATGGAAAATCAGTTTAAATCTAACTAAAAGTTGGCATATTTTTAGCACCAAACGGGGGTTAGGGTAATTGTAGCTATTTTTTTTTTTTATAAGTAGTTCCACCGCTAATGGATGCCTATTTCAACTGAAATAATGACGTGGATTTCTCCGACTCGGAATGCGAATTTTCATGCGTGCCACAACAAAACAGCTTTTATGCTTATCTTTCGGAAAATCCGCTCAAAATTTTTTCACCTCAACCATATTTGTCATGCGTTTTTTTTTTGTTTGCCAAATTATATTTATTTTTGGTCTACCAGTGTGTGCGTGTTTATGTGCTCATAATGTCACACGTCACGAACTCTTCATTCAACTTTTGATTGCCACCATTCACTATTTTCTCTATGATATTTCCAAAATACTTACGAGTACTCCTTTGGTGGATGGACTTATCGTTTTAGTTTTGAGGTTTCACCTATGCTACCGCAGAATTTTTATCTTTTTTTATTCAGTTAGGTAATCCGTCTGCTTGCATGATGGCGTTTGTGTGAGTTTGTTAATAAATTACATCCAGAAGAAAAAAAAAAATTGGAAAAGTTTTAATTTTAATTTTAAGTATGTCAAATTCTATCGTACCTGGATCTAAAAGCAATATAGTACTGTTGGACTCGCTCTTGTGCAGGAGAAAATTTTGTATGTGCAATCAATAGATTATCATCACCCAAGTGAGGCCAGGGTCATCCAGAAGGTCGGAAAAATCAGCGCAGTTACCACGCACTTCACTCAAGGAAATTTACTCTGGGGAAATTACTCCTCGCTACTCATAGTCCAGTGTCCTGCCTCATCGCTCAAGTAAGCCTCTGTAGCGAGATTCCTAGCGAGAATTCATGACACCTTCTACGTTTTCACAGAAAGCACTCTCCAGAAACTATTTTCACCTTTCCCCTTTCGCACTTGTAAATTCCTAGTCCAACCTTATTAAGTTCCCAGTAAGTCTGCTCGACGCCCTCAACTTAGACAGCTGTGGCTTCCACAAAAGGGGAATCTGCTACATAGATCACAAGGACAGTAGTAAATTCAACCGGGAGTCCAGATGGTCGCAGGTCCAGATGGTAAAGGATTTACATAGGCAAAACATTTACACGAGATAGATGCGCTAGGCTGACCTACCTGGTTTCGATCAAAATTGTACAAGTCTCTGATTTCCCTTCAGACTGTGTACTTCTATTAGTGCAGTGTTGGGTTTTATTATTCCACTACATAGGAAATTGAAACGAACGAAATTTTTGAATTTTACATTGTCCTGCCGCAACTTCGACTTTTCGTTTACTGCTTGCGGTTTGCTTACGAGTGTAATAACTTTGAATTACCTTGAAATTCGCGGCGATGAATGTGCCATTAAGAAAGTCTAAGCGACAGTTGCAAATTTCTTATACATGCTTTTAGACAATAAATCAATTAGCTTTTCCAAACACTCAAAGAAAGATAATTTTCATAACTTAAAAATTTGCTTGGGAAATTTTTTACATAAAAAGACTTTTAAAGATTATTTAGATAACTCGCTTATTTCAAAAAAAACCCAAAAACCAAAAAAGTATTTCCCTAACCCTCTATTAAATTTTGTACTAAATTAAACCAAACACACATGACTATGAACATTTTCGTGCGGTGTACCCTAAGTTCATTCGTTCATAAAGAAATTTGCCTAAATGCTATCAAACGATTTATCATTTCGTGCCATTACTCATTTGATGATGCGGCAGGCGGTCGGTCGCATACGCCTATTACCGCCTCTAACGCCTCTGCTGCTGCTGCTGTTTTTACCTGCCTCGTTTGCACACTCGCACCGCCGCTGTTCACGTTTGAAGCCACTTATTCGAGTTAAATTGCAGCAGTTTTCAGGTACGAGTAAATACAGTGTAAGTGTATCGCCGAATCCCACAAAACCGCTGAATGAAAACGCTTGAAAATTTGGCAGAGTAGCCCATTCCATGCCGTCACATGAATCGAACGAGTAGTCTCCATGACGACCACACCTAAGCCACTTCCGCTGCGTTGGGTGTAGTGCGCTTTGTTATTTCGATAAATCATTGAAGCGTTCAGCTTGAAAAAGCTGCGCTTGGTGACAACAAAAACGCTGCCGCTCGAACATTTAGCCAACAGTTGGCGCTCTGCCGCAGTCTTAGATCGACAGTGCAATTTTCGGTGGAGTTCGCAACTGGCATTCATTGCGCCACCAAAGCAATTCTCCTTTAAAGTGTTCGGTTGAATATTTTTAATTTTTAGTACGTCATCGAACAACTTCTGCTGCCTGCTTCCCGCTTCCTTGGTGGGTGTCAGCGTGACGAAGTGGCAATTTAGAGGTTTTAACTAAGACGCGTTTGGCTCCAATTTGTGGTTTCAACTGCACGTACATACGTGTGGAGGGAGTGAGTGTGTTTCATTGTGTATTTGTGGGTGTGTGTGTGTGTGTGTGTGTGTGTGTGCATTTGTGCAGTGTCTGTGTATGTATTCTAAACTTTCACTTGACTTCTACTTGCAGGTGCATTGTTGTTGTGGTTGTTGTTGCCCCTCTTGACGGTATAAAATTTGGCTGCAGCGAGACATTTCCGTGAGAATGGACTCACCAACACCGCCAATTGTAATCGACGATCCGAACGGTTCAGCAATGGACGCTTGCTTTACGGCATTCGATAAGGACGGGTGAGTGTTCAAAAAAAAAAGGAAAAGAAACTTTGAACCAAGAAAATGCTGTAAGAATTTAGTGAAAATTTTATTGATGTTGGAGCAGAGTTCGAAAAATTGTATTGCATTGAAAGTGTGGAAAAAGCTTTAAAATATGCGGGCAATAAATCTGGTGGCGTAAAATTTGTAGCTTTTTTTTTTTAATGACACATACGTCGTTGGGTTTGACAGCTGCAGTAAATTATATAACAGTGATTTTTGTGAGGCAAAAGTGGAAAATTAAAGAAGACATCGAATTGTCAAAACGGTTGCCTTGCGCTTCCATCTTCGCATTAGCAAGATCTTTCGTAAAACTATTTGATAATTTTTTTTAGTCTATTATTATAATTAGAGGATTTATTTTCCAAGGCTGAACTTGGACAAAGTGTTCTGCGTCAGTCTAATAAAGCCAATAATCTAAATGCCAATTGCTGGAGCAAGTTAAGCTCAAAACCCTTGTCTGATTCAAAAAATAGCCTGTGTATAAGAGGAAGTTCAAAATACTTAGCAGAATCCAAAGATTGACGGCAGAAATCGTATCAAGAACTCACGCTAGACCTCAGTTTTCGCTCACCGGACCATTGTAGCGTTTTCAAGCAGAGCTATAAGCCATATTAGAGGCCGCTCCGAGGCTCAAAACCTCCGCCCCTCCAGTGTGCTATTTACTCCGAGAGCCAGGCTGCTATCAAATCTCTTAAACCTAAAGGAATGACGTTTAAAGTAGCTGACATCAAAATGCTCCTTGACTGTTGTATGGGTCCCTGGACACAGGGACATTGCCGGCAACTGCTTAGCCGACGAACTGACAAGGAGGCGTACGGAAACATATCTGAAGTCAATTCTACTCAAAATGTAGGCATACCTTCAACCTTGGCTGTTTTTAGGCGGTGGGTTGTAGGTGTTCTGAAGTTTGTAGGTGTTAATCTGTAGTCATCCATTATCATACCGGACTACACGATCATTTTCCAGGCGGTAAGGTATATGAAGGAGCATGCATCCGCGAGTTCGTGGTTAGGTCACAAGCTGTGGAGGGTTGTAGTGGAGGAATAGACCGAATTTTCAATAAATTCAATCAATTTGAAATTACCCTATTATGGCTGCCAGGAAATAGGAAATGCAACGGAGGTTGAACTACTCAATTGCTGTAACGCCGTGAGACAATAACCAAGCTACGAAGGTGGCTAATATAAGTGGCCTAGTATTCCTCAGCACTGGTTTTAAACACCGAGCCAATATAAGCTTCGCAGACAATTGCGCCCATGTTTGTAGTCTGAATGCTTGAATTCCGAACGGACAGTGACTTATCACAAACGGCACTATAGGGGAGGGCTGTAGCTATGAAAGCATAAGGACTTTGCTGTCGAAGAGTGACCACTGGTGGTCAGTGGCGTTGCCGGCTGATCCCTGTTGGTGATATATCTTCCCTGATTTAAGTCCTTGCTGTGGCAGTCTTACCTGCAATGGTATTATATTTAGCATGGCGATCAGTTCCAGAGCGGGAGGGGTCCAAATTGCAACCTTTAATACTAATGAGAGCGGGAGTGGTCTGAATTGCACTACTAATACCAATGAGAGCAGCCTGTTGTGTGCGCTCTGGCTGCTAACCAGTGAAACTCTCTATAGTCAATTCCATCAGACGAGGACTCCATTCAACATAATAGCCTTAACTATGGTGGCATAGAGGAGGCAGGAAATTATTTTGGACGATAGACCACTTCCTCTACCAATAAATAATCTCAAAAAAATTGGACTGACGAAGATATTTCCCACACGATTCAGCTCACGAACAACCTGTTAAAAGCAAATATTTAACTTGTTTTCTTTAATTTTGTTTGATATATTCGCAGCTTCCAAAACCAGCCAGTACATGCATAGGTCTCTAAACAAATATATGCACTTATATATAAATGCACATGTCTATTATGTATGTATGTACGTTTGTATGCATGCACGTCTACTAAACTCTTATCCTTTTCTGTTTGCTTTCGCAGCGATGACCGCCTAAGTTTAGCCGAATTTACGCTCATCTGTCGGGCGTTATTCCGCAACGACAAGGGACACATTTACGATGTGCCAGCGGATCGATTGCAGCAGATTTTCGAAGTATTCGATACGGACGGTGATGGCTATATTGACAGGGAGGAATTTAAATTTTGCTGGAATCGTTGGATAAAAACGGTGAGTCAGTAGATATATGTAACATCATTGTCTGATGCATCGTGTTGTCGTAGTTATGCATGTATGCATATATCCTTCAGATACAAATTTTCATGAACAAACAAAAAATCAAATAAAATCAGTTTTTACATACGAGTATGTATGTATGTACGAGTATGTGCCGAGTAAATGGCATACATATATGAAAGTTTGCGAGTCACGCCTTAATTGAGTTATTTTCCTGCAAATGGTGTTGTTGGTGTGGGCTTCATTCTATTAACTGTGTAGCGGCGGCTGCATCGCTTTGTTGGCGTTAAAAATTCATAAATATCAAGCCGTTATAATATGTGGTTGTTAACAATTCGTTTTGCCATTTATTTTTTCCTTCTACAATTTATGCAGCACTTTTCACTTTTTTTTTTCTGCTGTTTCATTCTGCATTCGCGATTTCTGCGTATTATTCGATGCAGACTGAAGAAAAAAGTAAATAATTGTGCAAAAAGAGCAACTTCACTGAAATGTGAGTAATTGAATCCTGAAGGCGTCACATGTGTATGTATGTATATCGCGTGAGTGCATATGTATGCATGTACATATGTGTATAGCAGCAGCATTGAAGGCCGGTTGACATAAATCGCAATTTACATGCTACTGTACGCATCAGAGGATCAATACAATTATAGGTGGATGTATGTGTGCTCATGCGTGTTTGTGGATGAGTGAGTTGTCCTTGGGCGTACTACTATATGTATTTGCATATGTACATTGCCAGTTCCAGGAATGGTTTTATTATTGGCCGATGAGTATGCAAATTTTTCGAATATATGTATGTCTTTAGGAGCAGCCACCGCTCGTCCGAGAACTTTGTGTATATGCATCAAGAGTTAAAAAATGTTCAATTCGATATTAACAACTGAGTCCCTCTGAATTAAATAGAACTAGGGAATAAGGTATGCCGGAACTATCGGAGAAATATAAAAAAAAACACGCCCAGTTGTTCCCCATTTTGTAGTACATAGACGGCTTAAAACACCCGCAGGCACTGAAACCAGTATCTTTGGACCCAGATTTATGACCAATAGTAACCAGGATTGGAGTAGGGGCTGGATAGTAGAGGAGAATTCCACTGAAATCTATACTGATGGGTCCAAAATTGACTGCGGTCATCTCTTGATAAATCCGCAGCAGAGACAATGCAGTGTCGCGAACTCACCAGAAGGGAACTGCATCTACAAGTTGCATGTATGGCTAAGACACGTTGGAATAACCTTCACTAGTGCAGAACTGCGAGGAACATATGGACGAGAAACAAGGAACTTTTAAAGAGGTCAAGGAAATATATAGTCACGTTAACTGGCACGATAACGGGACACTGCGCCATTGGGGAATCTGCTGCCCAGATGGGCCTTCCGTATTACCCACTGTACTATAGCTGCAATCTGGAGGAAAGTAAGGAAGCGGACTTACTTTATATCGGCGAGTGCCTAGAATTCGCATGAATAAGGGAGATTTTCCTTCCAAAATCGTATGGGATTCAAATGCTCCATTACTAGCATAAATAGATTCATCGACAAAACCATCCAGATGCTTTGTTAAACCGACGAATCATGAAAGCAGGTAGTACAAGGAATCCCAGAGAAAGCGTAGCAAAATGTTGATCTCAGCGCTAATTGGATCCTGGGAAAGTGGCCAGGCAACGGATCTACCAACCAAACAACCAAGCGGCAGTCGGGCCGCATGACGGCTCTTCTATGTCATAAAATTTAGTTTTCATAGGTTCTCGAGTGCGCTGAGAGGGTAAAGGCCTTAGCGCCAAACAACAGAGTTTTCCTTTCACTGAATTTCAGGCTCTAAAACCAAAGAAGGAGACAGAGATACAAATATGCTTGCCAGGAAGGCTGCAGAAAAAAAACTTACAGGTACCAAGCCTTTCTTTCCAATAGGACCACTATAAGAGAAGAGCTCAGACTAAGAAGCTATGGGTTTTCCTTCTACATATTCTTGGAAGAAACGAATCCGTATATTCCGCGGCTGGTTCCTAAGGGATATTTTTCTTCTCAGATCCCTAAAAGGGGTTGATGGGAGCGTGACGGCGTCTGGAATTGAAGTCCAATCAATATCTTCATGGAAAAATCGCAGAAGGACCGCAGAGTTGTATTCTGTTAGGAACTTGCCATGAATTTTATGTTCAGGTTTCAATATTTCAAGAGCGTTGAAGACGGCCGCTTTCAATAAATCGACCGATTGGCTACATGCAGGTCTATTGTACTTATTACCGATAATAAATGTAAACATCCACTCTCATAGCCAAATGGGGAATGTTAAATTACTTTTCGAGCAATCGCCTCGAATTAGTACCACATCAAATTGATATATGGATCAAATTATAGAAACGTTGCAGGAAATTGCATGACTGATGAATTGGTCGGGCGGGGTATTCTTGAGATCATCACCGCTGGCAACTTGTAGACTACTACCGGACAGATGAGCTCACAGTCGGTTCAGCGAGCGGGGAACGAAAACCTCACTTAGCAAAGTCCTTCTGTCTCTCTATTTCGACAGATGTCTTGACCGGGCTACTGTTATTTGGAAACCAATGTTTTGCGCTTTAATAGCTTCACGGATCCTTATTCTGCCTAGAGTTCGCCAGATTAAGGATTGATTTGAAGAACCACCTGAAACGTCGAGAGATCTCAGCCCAATACTATGCTTAGGATTGTATTTATTCTTAGTTATATCGATCACAGAATTGGCTTGAGGTAGTTGAAGCTTACATGTCCTTTAAACTTGTTCTGACGACTGTACTATGATTCTAAGTCGAATTTCTTGTCTATTTCTGTTTCATATTTGCAACTTTTTACTCGGTGACTGTCTATGAGACCTTTACTGCGGGTTGGTAACACAACTTTTTAATGAAACTTCGATTGGTATGCATATATGTATGTATGTGTGCACTTCGATTTAACAACTTTAAATCCTTCCACTTGCCAATACATACACTTTATAGGAAATATCACTTCTGCGAAGTTCCCCACAATTGTTATTACATAACTTATACAAATCATAAATAACAACAAATACTTTTCATAAGCTTAGAGAGGAAAAGCCACTTTCGAACTACTACAAAAAAGGTAAGAAAGTGTTTTGTTGTTACGAGTATTTGATGTTGTTTGAATGTTGCCGGAATTGGCTTCTTATTGCAAATTTATTTTACTTACCCCTTTCGACATTCATGTCCTGTCGTTGTGTGTGTGTGGGTGTGTGTTTGCTTGTGTTTGTGTGTGGGTGTGATTTTTTCCTTCCTGTCTGGCAAGCAACTCAATTCAATTTCAATTTCATATTGCAATGCCGTTTACAATCAAGTGATGCCGTAAGTCGAAAGCCGAGCGCTGCGAGTCGAGGATGTGCTGGCGAGGTGTGTGCAAAAACTTAGCCAAGGAAGGTTATAGTTTAAAATTCTTGCAATTGACGTGAAATAATATGAATGCATATGGTGGTGGCATGCAGGTGCATATGTATCTACGCGCACATACTACATACATATACATATGAATGTAAATAAAATAAAGTTGTATGCAAGCAATGATTTTTTGTTTGCCGTGTGTGAGAAAAGGTGTTAAAGTAATTTCCGGCAGTTAATGGTTACCTGTACGTATGTAGAAATATCTAAATATGCACACATGCATATCTGCATTTGTGTGAGCGTATGTAAGCAAGCACTTACGTATATAAAATGTGTTAATGAAGGGTTTGGTGTGATTTCTGTGATTGACATGAACAAAAAAATAGAAAAAACAATTAAATAACGGCATGCGTCTTTATAGCTAAACAATTGCAATAGTTAAAAAAATCCATTTCCAAAAAATTAAAAATTTTTTTTTTGTTATTTTTAAGCTTTCCTTATTCTAAAGTGTGCCGTCATATCAAATTTCGATGAAGAGTTGGAAGTTTTCGGAACATTTATCTACCTTAAACATTTATCTACCTTAAAGCTCGTTTTTTAATCACCCCGTTTGCACAACCAAAAACCAGAACTGCGTATAGGAAAATAAAAGCGGTTCAATCGATTTAAAATGCCAACAAGCTGAGGTCTCCTTTACTACTACATACAAAGATATTTAGTAACTTTTAAATAACGCGGCAGTACTACAAAAGAACTTAGCATTTCCGGCTTTCCTAAGTACTATATTAATTATTCTCGCGTTCCCAAAAACCCGAAAAATCCAAAAAAGCCCGAAACATTCCTCAAATAGTCTCAAAGCACCAAAAAGTAACAAAAACTTCCGGAAGATTCTCAAAAACATACCATAAGGAATTTCGAAAATTCTTAAAAAAAATAAGAAAATTTCCGAACGAACCTTCAAAGCTCTTAAAAATCCTGAAACGTAAAACACCAAAAACCCCGGAAGAATACAGAAAAATTTGAAGGTAATCTGGAAAAGTTTCAAAAATTTCTGAAATAATCCCGAGATAAAAAAAAATCCCGAAAAATTAAACGTTGAGAATGCCGAAAAATCCCGAAACAATTAAGGAAAGTCCCGAAAAACTCCTCAAAAATCTTAAAATAACCTTGAAAAGTAACACGAAGTAACGAAAGTATCCAATAAATCCGGAGGAAATTTTGTATAGTTTAAAAAAATCCTGTAAATCACATTTCATTAGTCATTTTGTTAAACCTTGAAAGATAAAAGTAAACATGAAGGATTACTCTTTTTTTCTGAACCGTTTAATATTTAGAAGTCTGCTAACTATTGAAATATCTAGTATTACTTTCTTTGAAGCAAATCGGAAATGTGATAAAAAACATAAGCTACTCTTAGGCTGCACCCCGACCATCGGATGAGGTTTAAATTGGTAGTAACGAACTACACAAGAGTTACACGGGCTGACAACTGGAACTAATTTACTTTGCTATTTATTACTTTTCTGTTGCCCTTCAAAGTTCACTTCATATGTCTTGTCAGCTAGTCAGTCAATCAAGCAGGGAGATATGCAGTACCTTCACTGCATTTTGATATGTTACTCAGTATATTTTACCTATTATTTTTCTGCTCAATTAAATTTGTTTGCATACTTACATATTCACATACATATATATGTACATAGATACATAATACCTTGCAGTAATGTAAAAATGTATGCAATGAATTTCTAATTAAGTGAAAACTCAAATAACCTATTAAATGCTAAATTTCCACTTTGATTCACCCCAACGAACAACTGTCCATTCCAAATACTGTTTCCGAAATATGCATATATGCATATGTACATACATACATATATAAGTTAAATACATACCTATATATGAATATGTACATATATGTAAGTAATTCAATTTCTTTAGAGAAATCTCCAGTTTGTGCTCTCTGCTCGAAATCACCGAAATTATAAAGTGATTATTGTTACTTAATTTTTGTTTCCTGCGTTCGTGCTCCTTAGCACCCAAACGCTTTTGTGTATGTATGTATGTATGTATATCCTAGGAAGTGATTTTCATTTTATTTTACTTTTGCATTTTTGTCGTCAAAAGTTCTTTGGCCCGTGTTTCGATTGAGGTCATGAACCATTAACTTTTTAAATAATGGCCAGCTCAGCTCATTCATTGTGGCGAAGCTCGAGCCAACACAGCGTTATTCCATTATTATGCTACTGTGGGGTTACTCGCTGTGGTTTTTATTAATAAATGGATACAGTGGTGTTAAAATTTGCAATTCATAATCAAAATTTCCTTAAGAATATTTGTATTAGTACATATATTCAGCGAGCGTGAAGGAGGACTTGTTTACCCCTGTCCTTCTACAAGCTGTCGCCGCTGTGAATATCTGGATATATTTTCAAGAAAAAGAGGGAGAACAGAAAGAACAAGAAGAAGAGGAAGAGCATCAGACAGCCTTTTGGTTCATCCACTGTACCATTACTTACTCTTACCCTTACACGATTTTCTACGTGTTTGGCCGAGTTTCTCCTCTAAATTCAATCACTTGGTTACGGCGGCAAGGGCGCAAGTACTAAAAGAAAGTTCAATTAAGACCGAAGGTGCATTTTTCACATACATATGTGGAATAAAACCGGTTTATCCGTTATTTGTTTAATTTCAAAATTGGGAACCGGTTTTTTCAAAGGGGTATTTTTCGAAAACTGCTTTGAAAAAAAGTCGAATAATCGAAGGCCTAACATTTTTCAAATTACATATTTTTTCAACACTTATCTACCACTGTCCAATGTCATTTAATTTATGTATTTTAAAACTTCAGCTCACTCCTTCAAAGTTCAATTTGTCACGTACTGATTTTAGCTTGGGTCATTCTTGTTATTTTTAGCGAGTGATTTTAATGTTGATGGCACAGCTGGCAACTTGCTTTTGTATGCCGAAGCGCATGAAAACCCGTGTACGCATAAGTGGTGAGTGTGTGTGTATGTGTGTGTAATTTTTACAAACTTGAAATTATTTGCCAAAAATATGTCTAACAAATTCATTTTCTCCTCATGAATATCCGATATTATGGCAAACTGCTGAAACCCAAACAAACAAAAAAAAAAAAAAACACACACCTCCTTGTCATCGTCAAATTTCGCCATATCCTGCTAGTATCCTTCCGGCACTTGCCGGCTATTGTAAATTTCACTTGACTCGCTGGCACGCGGCGTTCATGTGTGTGTGTGTGTGAATGTGTTTTTGTGTAAGTGTTTATAATTTTTACTCTTCAAGCGCTTGTTTGGCTGCAAAGTACTCCGACATTTTTCCAACATTAACTTTACTTTCTTTTTTCTCTCTCCTATTTTCGTCCTCCGCATACTAACAACACCACCACAACCAACCAACGTGCGCACCAACAAAAAAACAACAACAATATTGGCGCAGATTGTAAGACCGGTGAACGCTTTCCTCATTGTTGATGTACAGAATGATTTTATAAGTGGATCCTTGGATATAAGTAATTGCAGTGCACAGCAGAAGGGACATGAGGTGAGTGTGCTTAGCAGAGCGTTTGGCGCGCTACTCAACTAGGGAACGCGTGCGTTGTGTCGCGTCGGGTCGCTAAGGAATGCTGACTGTGAAAATTAATATGTTTGGGTGTGGGTGTGGGTGTTGGGGTGTTGGGGTGGAATAAAGTAGAAATACAGCGAAATGAAAATAAGAAAAGTTAGGTCGTTCAAGGAGAACTGCTATCAACTTAGCTTTAAGCTGTGCGCTGAAGGTTAGGTTAGATAACAGAAATTGGTTGCAACTTTAAAGTAAATGAACGCAATATCAAGCTCAGATGTATGCCACTATTTTTCGATGCACACAAAAATGCTCCTGGTGTGGAAGTGTGCACAGCGAGTAGGCGTAGTAGTAGGCGAGTAGTAGGTAGCAGTGGACGAAGACGAAGCTTCAGACCTGACCATAACGTGAATTTATGACTACCACAGGAACTGCCATCTTGTAAGCCTGACGAACTAAAGACAGGCTTTGAACGGTATTTATCGCCAGTGTATTCTGGCCCCTTAATTGTCGTAATTGCAGACTCCGAACAAATGAGTAGATGAAATGACTTGTCGCTGTATTTCCAATGTTCTTGAAACTAGAGAGTATCGTCCTCTCAAAGGCTGAAAAAGGAGTCTGGTTATTCCATACGCTCGGGTTATCACACCACTGTTAAGACCCAACAAAGTAAAGTTCAAATAAAAGCACAGTCGCCGAATGGTGTATAGTCTAATCGGAAATTCCATCGTTCCAGACCGATTCAGTTGAATCTGGTTCAAGGAAACCGTGGGCGCAGTCAAACGAAATAAACGTCCTTACGAAAACGGTCAGGTTCAATGCAGCCAAGATCAGTATTTCTAAAGAAGTAAAATATCTGGGTGTAATCCTTGATGACAAGCTCCGATGGAACTCACTCCCCGGAGAGAGTTATGTACATATATAGAAGGTTAGAACTTCGACATAGACTTGCTGAAATCTCATGACAGGAACTGGGGCATCAAAATCAAGCCGTCAATTTGGATATTAGAAACTTTTGTCAAACCCACCCTAACATAAAAATTATATCATTTTTAAATTGAATTGTCTTCGCGTTCATTATCTGCTCAATCAATATAAAGATTTTATAAAAAAATGTCCCTACTTACCAGAAGGATAAATGAATTGTGAGCCTAGAGGAGGGAAGCATGAAGTGTTTGATTTTATCTGACACACATAGTACATCTCAAACAATGCACGGAATAATTCGCAAATTGGTTACGCCCTTTATAAAACCCATTCTTTGATGCCTCTTCCAAGCGCAAGTCTCCTTTCGGACCAAGTCCTAGAATCCTAAAGTCTCCAAATATGTAGCATTTCCAGATACAGAGCGCCTATTATACTGTCCGGCTGACGATAATGAGAAAGTGATCAAGTGGAGTGGCTTCAAATTTTTGTTAACGCATCTGTTATAGAATAGTTTTTTAAAATTCAATATTTCGCCAAGCAACTTAAACATGAGCTCCTTCGAAGTCAGATTGCAACTCGTACCAAGTCGTACGGAGTCAGATCTCCAAATGTTAAAACCTTAGGTAAGAAAAAAACCCTTCTAGATGTTATTTAGTTCGGAATATATGACGGGCTATCCGATGGTGCTATACGTTTTCCAAAATTATCCCATTTTCAAAGTGAAAATCCCAAACGAAAATTTATTTGTAATTCTACTCATTGATGGTAAATTTTAATATTGTTTTAAGTCATCTCAATCGAAAGATAAGGCCTTTTTACATAGAACCCGTTAATAAAAAAAGGACTTTTATTATTTTTCAGTATTATAAAATATTTACTTCCGATTGTAAATGCCGAGTAAATGACGAAAAATATAAAAAAGTGACCCCTACGTTTGCCCAAAGAAATATATATATTTTTTTTCAAAATTTCCTTGCAAAAAGACTCGGAGGTTTACGGGGAAATTTTTTTCCGTACGGTCCAAGGCGAATTTATGTAAGGTAGATCAGTTGATTTTGTGTATTAATTCGCCTTGGTACGGTCTACTGTAAATACGTATATTAACCTACATACATATACATACATATGTATGTACATAAGCACGGATGCCGCCATTACATATTAGACATTTACATATGTATGTATGTCGCATCTCTGTCATCGACATATTTTAAAGCATCAACTTTAGTCGGGATGTGGGAGCGGAAAAATCCCATTCGCATCACTTCCTCGCTTGTTGCCCTTGCCTTGCTTTTGTGTTTAAGTTTCGGTTGTTAAGCATTTCGTTTACAGTTTTCCACCAAAAAAGTTTTGCTTTATTTTGTTTTTTTCGCTAACATTTTCTTTTCTTTCCATCGCTGCTGCTTAGATTCTGGAACCCACCAACAATCTGTTGGATACCGTGGACTTTGATGCTGTTTTTTACTCACTCGATTGGCATCCAAGCGATCATGTTTCGTTTATCGACAACGTGAAAATGAGACCCATGGATGAGTCGTCGCCGGTAAGTACTTACACAAATGGTGTATAAAATATGCATTGAAAGCTCATGTGTATTTATGTAGAAGACATGTTTATGAAAACATCGGCTCATTCATTTCAGATCGACGCCGATTCAGCGCAAGTCTTCGATACAGTCATCTTTGCTGGCCCACCACCGATGAAGCAACGTCTCTGGCCACGCCATTGCGTGCAAGATTCGTGGGGCGCTGAGTTGCATAAGGAGTTGAAAGTTGTTGATAACGGTATTAAAATATACAAAGGTACAAATCCAGAAGTCGATTCATATTCCGTATTCTGGGACAATAAGAAGCTCTCTGACACAACATTGAATGCGCAGCTAAAGATGAAGGGCACAACAGACATCTACGTATGTGGCTTGGCGTATGATGTGTGCGTGGGTGAGTGATCATGATGAAAGTCCACAGGAGGATCAACAAAAGAAAGCAAATAAAAAGATAAAATAATAATAAGTAAAAATAAAATAAAAAAGAATAGAATAGAATAAAATGAAGTAAAATAAAATATACTAAAATTGTATGAAAAGTACAAAAAGTTTGGTATACATTTCTTCTTATGTAATAATTTAAAAGACCTTGAGTTTAATAGTTTTCTTATAACTTTTCAGGTGCTACAGCCGTCGACGCTTTGTCAGTTGGTTATCGCACGATTTTAATTGATGACTGCTGTCGAGGTACAGATTTTCATGATATCGAACGCACCAAGGAGAAGGTGATTACTAATCATGGTGTGATTGTGCACTCGAGTGAGGTGAGAATAAAAATTAGCTGTGTTCCAAGTGTTCGCGATAGAGACAGAGAGACAGAGTTAAGTGGATGAAGGATAACCATATTGAAAATTGCAATATAGATAGACTGATGACTTATGCCGAAATTCCACTATGCATTATAATGATAAAAAATGTATGTCAATTAAAAAATTAATTAATGCCCAACATTGTCATTAAAAAATGTGTAATTTAATGCCTAGTGGAAATTCAGCATAAGAGCTCAACTAGCCACCGAGGTATAACCATAGACCGTGTCAGCTAACACGACCTATCTTATGGGATTCTCGTGCTAACGAAAACTCACCACCGCATGAAACGACAACGTCTCACTCTCTATATCTATCTACCGCAATTTTATATCGATGGCTGAGTGGAAGATCAACCTAGACAGCTATCTCGATAGCCGGTTCGAAAACGCTCTATGTTCGAAATTTTTTCAAGAACTCCATACTTCAGAATTTGGTTGAAGAACATCCTATCTCAGAATATTATTGAAAACGCCCTTTCCCAAAATTTGGTTCAAAAACGCCCTATCTCAACTGAAAATATGTTGATATAGAGCGTTTATGAAACGGCAGCTGAAATAGCGCGTTTTTGAAAATTTTTCTGAGATAGAGCGTCTTCGAACCGGCTGCCCAGATATGTCGATCTTCCACTAAGCCCTCCGCATACATATTTACATACATACGTGAATTTTTATTCTACCCTTTCAGGTCCGTGGCATGGTCGAAGGACGGGATCGCCGTCCAGAGCTGGGTTACAAATTGGCAATGGAACTTAAAAATCCCGATTCGGCGCTATCACAACGCAATGGCATACGCCATATCGATTAAGTGGGCGATACGAAGTGGCGAGCAAGAATGCCGAGCGAGGCACAAGTACAAGAATGACACAAATATTCCAGTATCCTACGTAAACGCTTAAATACAAAAGAAAAATAAAAAAACATAGCTTACCAAGTGGCTTTAAAAACATGCGCTAGATAGCATATTTTAACAACAATACAATATACACAAATGTTTAGTTAGCTTAAGAGCAACAAAGCAACACTTATACACTTACTTAATGTGGGTTGTGAGAAAATGCGCTGATACGATTATGAAATGGAACAATTCAATGACACAAAAAAAAACCGAATATTTATTATGTAGTGGCATAGCTTTTAATTAAACTTAAATTATTTAAAATATTTTAACTTATTACACACCAAAACAGATATAAGAAATAGTGATTTAAATTTAAAAAAAAAATAATGGTACTTATCAATATTGTGCACGATTTATTTAAGGTGAGCTGAAAGTGAAATGTTGAAAACTCTCGCAGATGACAATGAAAATATTACAAACATACATGCATACGGACTACGTAAAAACTTAGTAGTTTGGTTGGCTAAAAGAAAAATGAATGTTGAGTGTGCTAAATGTGAATTGGAAGTGAAAATGTCAAAGAAAGCAAAAAAATATATATATATAAAAAAAAAACAAAATAACGAAGAACACAGCATTTTTATTTTTCCATTTTGTCTGTAATATATAAATACATATGTATGTATGTATGTACATACATATGTTTAGTCTCAGGCGCTAACATAGTGAGTATCAAAATTATACGCCACCCACATATTAGTACATCCGTTGTTTCTTGCGTGAGTGTAGCATTATTTAAGAGAGCCATTCCGGCTAAGATAGTTTAATGTTAATGTAGTTTGAAAGATTTTGTTTATACTGGCACGAAATTCTTACAAAAAAGGCTCGCTTTCATGTTAAAAAGCTCTTTTGACAGAAAGTACTTGTTAATCATTTTGCTCGCGCTGCTTCAACCGTCGCAATGGCCGAGTGATTAACGCAATCTTGGGCGGCGATTTATTTTAATTTATTAAATTTTTTTAAATTAATTGTTTCTAATTTTTTAATTCAATTGTTTTTTTTTTATTTAGTTTTCTTCTAATTTTCAGATTTTATTGTTCATTTAATTTTTAGAAACTAACTTTATATTATTATTGTTATTATTCGTTTTCGTTATTTATGGCCTTATAACAATTATATTCAAATTTAATGGACTACTTTTGGTGGAAAACAACAATAATTTTCACAAAGGTACTCATCATACTTCTTCAACCGCCGTGACTAGGATATGAAGCAGCGACCTTGGATTACAAAGCCAAGTGATCTACCCATTGAGATATGTATATAATTTCGCCACGTAAAAAAACTTTTCCATTAAAAACGGCCCCAATCTCAAGAAAATTGTTTAATGTATTTTTATTTTTTTTTATAAATTTTATTCCTAGAGTTTATTGTTAAAAAAATGCATATCGTTTCATTTTTGAAAACAAAATTGTTAGGTTTGGTGTTTTAAAAAGAAAACTATTTTTTTTAACTTGATTAAATAGAGAAATTAAATATAAACTTATATAATTTTTTCTTATTTTAATTCATTTTTCTTTCAAGTTTTAGAATTTTTTATTAAAAAAAGATTTTTATTTTATTTTATTTAAATGTTAGGAACTTATTTCATTGTTTTCTTTTTTAGTTATTATTTTTCTTTGTTATTTTAATATGCTTTTAATTTTTAGATTTTAGTATTTCAAAAATAAATTTTTTAATTACATTTAATTTTTAGAAATGTGTTTTATATGTTTTCTCTTTTTAGTTTAAATTATGGTTTTAAGAAGAAAATTATGTATTTACTAAATTTCATTTATATCTTAGAAAGCTTATTTTTAAAAGACCAACAGAAAACTCTAAGACCTTCTCGTAAGCAGATATTTTAATTAGTCTGTCGAACGACAGAAAACAGCTTTTAAGATAGTTTCCAGAATTGACAATTGTCTTACAGAAGACTTTTGTCTTTCGAAAGACCGTGGTTAGTTGAAAGGCAGTTGCCAGAATTGCCTTGCAATTCTAATTATGTTTTTAATGAAAATATACATCGCTTATTCCTGAACAAGAATCGTTTTTGTAATAAATTTCGAATGCTTTAATTACATAGATTTCTTAGAAAGATTCTATGTATACAGTTTTGTACCCAAATATCAACAAACTTTCTTAAAAATTGTTTAGCCCATTCAATTTAAATAAAGAGCAAGTTTGAAATAAGCTAAGACTTACCGTTGATTTTTGGAAGTGAAGGTGTCGCTCATTTTCTCCATATAAAAAAATTTTCGAACATACATACAAACAAAATCAGCAAAACCATCTGCAAAGAAATGCCAAAAATCAACGACAATTCCTTGCTACTTCAACTTTATTACAATAAAATTTAATGGGCTACCAAATTTTTTTCGAAAATTTGTGGCGTATAATTGTGAAAAGCACTATGAAGCACGAATGAATTCGCAAGCTGGCAAATGTCAGCAACTTCTACAACTGCACACCCATACACTTCTAAGCCCAGCATCAAGGCCACATATGACTAATTGAATCCACTTGAAGCGCGACATTAATAAGTTTAACAATTCCAACTCGCCAACTCACTTGCTCCTCCGCCCCCTTTGTCATCGCTTACCCTGCGACTGCTTGGCTTGGCTGTTCTGCGGCAGCTCGCCGTTGTTACATTTACACCACAACCCTTAAAATTTGCAGAGCACGAAATGAAAAACGAAGAACGACGTAAACCAAAACGGGGAAAAACGCTTCGTTAGCATAACCGCAAATTGGTTAAAATCTCCGGAAAAGCGAGGAAGCGAAATATGCAAACCCGCGTCGTTGCAACCATATGAGCTGGCTGTTTTTTTGGTTTGTACTTTTCTAACTTTGTTATGCCAGACCCGATGCGGTGTCGTTGGTGCAGAGACGGAAAAGGAGAAGGAAGTACGAGTACGAGGATTTAAACGCCGCTGCCTTCCAAGTAATGAACTTTTTTCATGTGTATGTTTGCATCACTGCGCGAGAAATGACATACGGAAGTTTTCTGCATGAAAAAGAAAGAAAGACATACATACACACATTAGAAATGACATGAAAGTCAATTGCTATGCTGACAAATTTAAACTGACTGGGATATTGCGTACTCATCAAATAATCGCACGGAGCTGGAATTTAAGATCAAGTGGGTCAAGGCGACTAAGCAGATATCTATGTAGGATCAGAGTTTGTAGAGGTTTAGGTTCAGTCATGCTGAGAAGAAGAAAGTAAGCAAGGCCCTACATGGAATGGACGGAACAATCTAAGGTGGACTATGGCGGGAGGTAAGAAGGCATTTGTACCAGGACAGATTTCGGAACAAGAATAAGAAGCCGACATGGAAAACTCAAAACTCATCTAGAATTGAAGGTAAATCGACCGACGCAGAGCCTTTAGTAGTTAGTGGGACTGAGACAGGCTACTTTTATTTTGGATTTGGGATGTATTAGACCGTACCACATTGGAAGCAAACAATAAAAGTTCGCCGTAGACGCTTGAGTAAAGTATTTTTGCAAGGCAATTTCGATTTTGTGTGCCTTTTTAAATTGTGGCACCTATATTCGGCAGTAACATTTTTTTTGTAAATAGTTCTACCGGAAAAGTCGAAATACTTCCTCAGAAAAAGTTTAATAATTTGTGGCGAGTTTTAATCAGGGACCGAGAACTAAAGATTTGATCGAAACAAAATGTCGTTCTCGTAGCTTTGTTTCCCAAGAATGAGAAAAAAACCCTTCGAGAATGTTTTCACAAGAACGAAAATTAGAACAGAAAATTCAAGAACGTTATCAGCAGGAACTATATAGAAACCAAACCCTGGAGAACGTTCGGCAACATTTTTAAGAGAACAAAATGGGAACAAAAATCTCCGGAACGTTCTGGCAAAGACCAAATCGGGAACAAAAGTCTAAAGAACTTTCTCTCGAAGAACAATTTGGGAACAAAAATCTCCGGAATGTTCGTGAACAAATCTTCTCTGTCCCATTCGTGAAGGATGGAAGCGAGAACACAATTTTTTTCATAGCGTTGCATTAGTTTTAATATTAAAATTAATAAAAAAATAACCGAAGTATAAGACACGAAATATTCTTTCACAGAAAATTCAAAATTTTGCCGTGCATGGACTGTTCACCCTAATGATAAAAAATCTGGAAATTAAAATGAACCGGCTTTCCTCTGGTTTAAGATTAATAATCGTAGTTCTTACTGAAACGATTTTTCATCCCAACACGCAGACGCCCCTCTCATTCTTAACGATAAGTTCTCAAAACATTTTTGTTCGAGTGTTGTTCTCTAGCAGTACGTTCCTCAAACTTTTGTTCTTATTTGCTCCGCCTTGACAACATTGTTGTTACTTTTGCTCTCAATGGAAACGTTCCCGAAAGTTTCGTTCTCATTCGGGTTTTCTGGAGAGCATACTTGAGAGATTTTTTGTCATTTTGTTCTTTTTAGTGTACCACCCTAATGCCAGTATATTAAGGCTCACCAAAAATCCAAAGCATTAAAATTTTTATTTGTTTTTTTCGCGGAATGTAGGTGCCAACAAGAAACCTTAAAAAGAGACCAATCTCTAGGGTTGCCAAAAAATTCTTGCAAAAATGCTTTACCCCGCGTCTCCATTTGCGATCATCGTATACGATTTCATTGCAAAAAAGCTAATGAAACAGAGCCCTTATTTATTTAAATAGTTTATTTCACATTCTCTTAAGCATATTTGTTATATATAACACACACGCTGTTTGACAGTTCATTGCATGCAATAATTGTCATGCGATGACCTCTGCTATTTATTGCATGAGATCTGCGATGAACGATCTCCATTTGCAATATATCTTATGAGATGATTCGCATGAGATCGGCGTTCGCATGTCGTGACAGGGGGCTGTACTCAGTCAGGGGTGTACAGTGACCTTTGTTTTGTTTGCTTGTAAGGTGGTACGGTCTAATGAACATACATACATACATTTATATGTAAAACTAGCTAACCAATAGATTCATCGTACGGTTTGTTTCTTTAGCTCTTAAGCCTTTGTGATGCTCGGACTTTTGGTATTTTACTTATTTTTTTTTTGTGTGTGCGAAATTTTTGAGTTAAAAGTTGTTTTAATTCAGTTTGGCTGTGTGTGTGTGTGTGTGTTTGTTTATAAGTGAAAAATTTGCATTACTGTCACGTTGCGGCTGGCATAGTGCCAGTGGTTGGAAGTTGGTTGGTTTGGTTGGACTACACCAATAGATCCGCTTTGGTATCAACACAAGCCAACTCGGTCGCTTGGCTATGATATGCTCTCGAGTGAGTTGTGGTCGAGTTTAATAGCCGCCAAATGCCAATGGAAATCTTCAACCCAACTACTTCATGGCTTTAGTCTTGAATATGGTCATGGATACGGTGGCTGTCGAGACAAAGGATGCAAAAGTTTTGAGTTGTCTCTACGTCAAAATGTTGGATGGGCTTTTACGCAAACTTACATATAGTTTTACATGTACAAGTAGCTGCCTTGGACATTTTTCTTGATGTTGATGCTCTTGTTGTCGACATACATACTTC